CATATTTTCTCTATATCTTATAGAGCAAATATACTGAATATACTGAATGACAGGATTGGAAAAGATAACAGCTGGACTCAATAAGTACAGGCTGGAACACTATCAATCTGTGGGTGACAGGCAGATTATATCACTTCATTAACTTAAAACAGAACTCAGAAGAGTCCATTATGAACATAAAAATGGAAAAAGAAAAATCTGGGTTGATGTTAAAAATTAAGGCAACAAAAGTAATGGCAGCCAGCATGAATTCACAGCTGTTGGCAAAGAAATGAAAGTGGAAGATAATTTTGCTTAGGACAATGGGCTGCACAAATAAATGAGATTAATCCTAGGGAGGATGGCAATGATATACCTAGACAACATCATGAAAGATAAGGATATTTCTTTGACAGTGTTTCAGAACAGATGAAGTAATTGTCTTTTCAGTGGTAATATATGGCTGTGAAAGGTGCACACTGAGAAAGAGTGAGAGGAAACAAGACAGTCATCTTCATATTATGGATTTGGAGATGGCTACTAAAATTACCATGGACTGCAAGAAGAGCCAATCAGTCAGTCTTGGATCAAATAAAAATTGAATTGTTCCATTGGAGGAATTATCCGCATGCAGAAACCTCTGGAGAACTGATGGGAGTGGATGATGGACCAGAAAAATGATTATATTTAACAAGGTTGCGGAAAGCAGAAGGTGGTTGGATAAGTGCACTGGAATTTCCTTGGAATAGCTACAGATTATTCTTGGGTCAGAGTAATAGTTGAGTATCTGTCTATGCAATCACCAAGGGCTGAGCCCAATTCAATGGCACCTAACTAGCACATTCAGGAGCATATGCATGCATAACATATCAGCTTCCAAACTAAACAAACAGGCTCTGCAGAGATCCAGGTTTGAAGGGCAAAATGTGCATGGCTGTACATCTAGTAGTACTTACTGGTAACATTTAAAGCGTTTTCCTAGATTCTAGGAGTTCTCAGAATATGCCAGATAGGCTGCCACAAACATTCCAAATAAAATTTTGCCCTTCAAGCTGGATTACTACACAGCTGTAGTAACAAAAGGAATTAGTCTGCTACATTGTGAATATATGTTGGTACAAAAAAACAAACAGATGAAGAAAACACTTCATTTACATTCTTATGGATGAATTTCTTGTGTGTAGAAAATTACTGAATCTGTGACCGTAGCTCCTGTACATCAGCAGGCTGCCCCAAATGGGATAATTTTAAGTAACTGTGATGGGGGTCACTACGTTTTGTGCACTGGGAATTACAGAAGTTCACCCAAACAATTTCAGACAGTGCAATTCCACTTTTCTTAGGTCTATGAGATTATCTGCCAGTACTGTCAGCCAGACAGCACTGCCTATAAATATAATGTGCAATATCAAAAACACAGCAAAGCATTTTTTCTTGACAGTTAAAAAAATCCAATTAAGAACAAGAGTGGCCAGAGTTAAGCTCATCTTGTAGAAGTCACTTATTTTTTTAAAAAAGAAAAATCTGAAGTCTCAAAAACCAGATATCTGGAAAACGGCCTATTCAATTGGCTTAAAACCAATTTGTGGTTAAGGGACCAGATTAAAGGCATAAAACATGAAACAGCTCAACATACTACCACAACTAATGGATCTGCTGTGTGAAGATGGAAGGAAACAGTGGAAAAATGGCTGAAATGTTTTCATTAGAGAGCAATGAACATTATCACTTTAGGTGAGAAGAGAAGAGAAGAGAAGAGAAGAGAAGAGAAGAGAAGAGAAGAGAAGAGAAGAGAAGAGAAGAGAAGAGAAGAGAAGAGAAGAGAAGAGAAGAGAATTTCACCTCTGGATAACTCAGTACTGCAGCTGGAGAAATGATGATTTTCAGCTTACTGCTTCAATGTTAAATTACACTCAAATTATTTTCCTTCTCCTATTTTAAAATATTATCCAAATTACCAAAAACATTTTCTCTGCTATCTGTATTAAATTCTTGGTAACTCCAAGTAGGTATGATGCTGAATTGTTTTTGGAGCATACAAATGCTTTTTAACAAACATGCAAACCAGTTCACACACAACTGCCATTGATTTTGGATCCCCTGCTTCACTTGGAATAAAGTAACCCATACTAGAAATTGGGCTAATGAAAAAAAGAAGAAAATCAGAATTGTGTACCCTAACATTCTGAAATATACCCCAAACAAGTATCAGTATGCTACCTATACTCTCTTATTGATAGAATGTGAGTAATAGTATTCCCTTGCAAGTTAGTCTCTAGATTAGAGAGCCTAGCTTGCCTAGAATAGCATTAGCATGTTTACAATAAAACTGAGCTCTGGTTGCGTTTGTGATATAGTGACCAAGGGTGCCAAAATTGACCAGTATGGTCCTTACCATTAGTAGAGAAAGCTAATTATTGCATAGGTACAGAAAAAGCTAGTGTGGTATAGTGGTTTAAGTGTTACAGTGGAAGGGGGCTATCACCTTGGGGGAGGGTACACAAGAGTGTGTGAATGGCTAAGGAGGGTGCATGAATGGCTGGGGAGACACCAGCATGAGTGCAGTGAGGTTCAGGGAGGGTGCGCAACAATCCACAGGTGGCTGAGGTGCAGTGTGCGTGCAGCAAGGCTCAGTGAAGTTGCACGAATGGTGGGGAGGCACGGTGTGAATGCAGCAGAGCTTGGGGTGGCTGCTATCAGGTGGGGGAAGGTGCACGAGGGTGTGTGGGTAGCTGGGGAAGTGCAGCATGAGCAGGAAGGCGTTTGAGGGTGAGGTGCAGAAAGAGCACAGAGGGGCTGAGGGAGGGTGCGCAGGTGGGGGAGGCTTACCCACACAACTTGCAAACCTCCCCATTGATTTTGCTTGTGGGAAGCTGGCAAGGAAGGTTGCAAATTGCAATCACATGACCGTGGGACACTCTAACTATTATAAGAGTGAGCCAGTTGCCAAACACCTAGATTGTGATCACGTGACTGCAGGAGTGCTGAGACAGCCAGAACTTTGAAGACTGATTATAATCACCACTCATTCAGTATTGTCATAATTTTGAACGGTTGCTGAACGAATGGTCATTAACCAAGGACTACCTGTATGGATTGTTATCAGATCAACACTTTCACTATTGGGTTGTAGATTTGTAAGAACACTATAAGAGAGAAAACATTGTGACTGATATGCTGGATCATAGATTTGTCAAGTAATCAGGTAATAGTAACACTGGCTAAAGGTGATCCTAGAAGGATTAAGCAGAGAGGAAACCAAGAAGAGATATTTTGTAAATCATTTTTATGAATGATTACATTACAATACATCTTCTTAAATAACTGGGTGGATTAAATATATATAACAAATTAAATTCAACAAATTATTGCTTCATTTACAAAGAAATCCCTTCCCTCCAAAAAAAAAAAAAAAAACCAATTAGGAATCTGAGTTCTGCTGATATTTAAAAAACTCCAACTAGGTGTTGCACTGTTGTCATTTCAGACAAATCTACATTTGAGAGCCTTATGTTAAAAAAACCCTGCAGCTCTTTCATTCACATAGTACACACATAAAAGTCTGTTGCTAATAAGAGTATACATCTCCATGAAATGAATTTCCTATATAGTAAGTCCAGCTGTTCAAATGTAAACTCTGTACAGTCTTTATTACTACAACCGGGTTTCATTTTGGAGAATTATCCATTCCTCTCAGATCTTTCATTTCCAAATGAAAAAGCATGTATTGAGCAGATGGTAAACTAGCTTAGTAAATTTGTACAAAGCTGTGAAATGCTGCCTTAAAGCAATACTTTTCATTGATAGATAAATGAGAAGTGGGGGATAGGTTATGTGTTCAACTCTGTGTCCCCAAAGCAATAACAGAATAGCAGGTCTTTGGAATTTGCTGTTTTTCCCTGAAAAATCACTTGAACTTGCTTCTCGTATGACTGACCACTCAAAAGTTAAGCAACTGAAGTTTTGCTACCTGAATTCAGAACAACAGTGATATTTGGAATGCTGCACCTGAACAGTAGGTTGCATATTAAGTTTGATTAGGTCTTTCTGCTCCCTCTTCCTGAAATTTTAACAGAATTTCTTTGTAATATACAGAGTGTACCAAAATCAGGCCCCATAGACAATTTATTATATAAATTAAAATAAATGTTTGAATTGATTAGCATTTTCTTCTAAACACTTCCTACTCATTTGATGCATGACCTTTGAACATTCCTAAGTATAGTAGCATTTTCTCTGAATAAAACATATTGTGATTGGCCTGTGGCACCTGACTTTTGATACCCCCCGTATAGGAGATTTTTTCCTCACTATATTGTTTTCCTAACACCTTTAACAATCACATCCTTTACTCTACTGGAGTACTGGACTATTGAGTAACTGGATCTTCACAGAATCATGAACAGGTCTTCTTATTTTTATACTATAAAGTTTTGGAAGCCTTATAATTCCAAAACATATATGATTTAATTATCCCATCATAAAGAAAACATATGCACTACGAAGGTACATAGGAATGGACTTTGCTTGCATACTGATAAATATGAACACACTTGTTCATTTCTAGTATTTTTTTGAAAAAAAAAATCCTTTCTTCTGGATGCTCTTTCTCTCTCTTTCATGCAGGAATGAACAACCTGAAGCCCTTCAGAAGTAGCTGAATTCATTTTCAGGATATAAAACATTGAGTCTCTCTTGATTTTGGTGGGTATATACCTAATCAATCAATCGATCAATCAATCTCTTACCACTGACCATGCTGTTGAAGTTTCTAAAAATTGTCACTTACTGATATCAGAACAAGTCCTTTGCCTCATAACTTGAGGACATTATGATACAATCTACTTGTTCAAGCTAAGCAGGCTTGAATATGGCCAATGCTTGAATGGGAAATTACCCAGGAATCCCATATCCCACTTTGAACTCCATGATGGAAATAACTTGGTGGACAAATATGCTAACTAAATTAAAAACAACAACAACAGTAAATCACCATCAGACAGAGAACAATTTCCAAAGGAGGATTATCTTTGCTTTTGCCTGAAGAAAAGCATTACAACATTTTTACCTTCCTGAGTGTGTTCCTATTGCTACCACTGTACCACTTGGATGGAAGTCAGCACAATGTCCTGGTTCCTGCAAGACACATTTGATCTTATGATGCAAGTTGAAATTTAATAATATTTACACAGGCAGTTATTCACTGGGCTGCCTCACCTGAACTAAGAAAAGTAAATTGGAGTGAACTTCACAGTTCCAACTTATGAAGCCATATGCTCTGCAATTACTCCACACATGAGGAGCACATGTAGCCCATTATCCTATACTGATTTTGACCTCATGAGTTTAAATTAAATCTGTAACTGTGCAATCTGAAGATCACATCAAAATTTGCTAAAACTAATTTGGGGATCAATGCTAGGGTAACTAAGAACCAGACCATTTTAATGTCATGGGTTCTACTTATCTAATAACTTAGCAAAACATTCATCTCCAGCTTAAGTAACTGTAATTGATTACTCTAACAGACAAAGTTTTGCACCACTGTAGGAATATTGTCAGCAGGTTTTTCCATCTAGACCAGCATTATTCAACTCCTCTGTGGCTCTTCAGGTGTAAGTTGTGGTCATCTCTCACTGCTAAATATTTTTAATTTAAGATGTCAAAGAATGACCTTTCATGCAAAGCTTAAACTTTACTACTGACTTATAGACCAGAGATGGGCAACCTTTTTCAGCCTGGGGCTGCATTTTATATATATAAAAATATATATACTTCCAAAAGCTGCAGCGACATGGTAATAATGTAGTGATGTTACAGGATGGGTAAGAACAGTGTTTTTAGCTTCCTACTTTCTGTGTAAAATAAGGTGCATTAAATCAATCAGAGCCTTTAAAAAAAAAACTGGAAATCATGCTGCTGTAAAAAAAAAAAGTGGTTGCTATTGAAGTTTGAAAGAAAAAGCTTGCAAGGCTTTGGGGGCTGTGAAAAGGTTGAGGACCTTTTATAGCATATGGACTGATTTCTGCTACAGACCCTCTCTGCAAAGGAAAGAATTTTCTTTGAATGTCATGACCGAAAAAACTACTGTTCAATTTTCTCTTAAGGTGGAATCTCTACTTAAGAAACATCCCATAATTATCGCTAATATCTTCACAGAGGATAGGGCACGTACATCTAGTAGCCTGGTCCATTCAAGAGTGTGGTCCACTGAGTTCCACATACAAACTTGACGATCTTGAGCACATGTTAAGAACAGATCTTTGAACGGATGTGTTCCCAGGCCCCAGAGTTCATCTGTGTGGCCCTAAAAAACATAAGTTTAATGAAAGGACAGATATCCATAGCTATCAGCAAACAAAAGAGATCAAGTATCTGTAACTGAATTCAAAGAGAAGAAAGGGATGCACCTGAACTTCCACTTGGAAACCATCATTAAACGTTCCACGCAAAATAAAATTCCTTGATGTACCAAGAATAAATTGATCAGCTTTGCCTTCTGCCACAGCTCTGATTGTCCCATACTGATCAGGAACCTATGAAAATCACACTTTCTTGAAATCCATTTTGTAGATTACAAAAAATAATATAATAATATTTTAAAATACTGAAGGTCACAATCATCTTTCTTGTGCAAACAAGTCTCAAGTACTTCCAACGAGATACAATGTTTCCTTTTTCACTTTGTTACTTCTCCTATTTTTATCTACCTCCTTCTCTCTTTAAAGATCTGGGTGGTATATATGACATAATTTGAGCGATAAATTTACATTTTAAAAAATAGTTTTTTGGCATTGCTGTTCTCTCCTTCTTACAATCACTGTTTCCTAATCCAGTCTTATTTCAGGGAAGACAAGGCAGCAAGTGGAATTTCTCAATATAAATCTGTTTTCTTGGGCGACAAATGATATACATACAGTATTTCATTTTCCTACCCACAGAAGATGGAACTTAGTTACAAGTTTCATTACTACAAGTACAAAATAAGGCTCATCCATCACTGCAGCTAATTGGAGCTATCTCAGTAGCTGACTACATATATCAAATTGGCATCTACTTGTTAATTTTATTGATTACTTTTTTAAAAAACCGTTTTGAATTTATTTCCTCTATTAACAAACTGCAGTTAAAAACACCCAGAGCTATCACTATAATAAAATAATTGCATTTTTGTTAAATTCAAACTAAAATGTCCTTAATGTATCTGACAGTTGTCAATGTCAGATGAAGGGATATTGCACAAGTTAGAAATTTAAGATGTGATTTTATTTCTCTTAACATGGCTACATTCTGTTTTACTATTTGTAAAATATGTCATACCTTGACCACACCAGTTTTACAATTTTTGGGTTTTACTGTGGTTTTTTGCTTGTTGTCTCACAATTTTTCTTTTTGATTTTTGAGTTGATCAATGACTGTAACAAAGCACTACTACTAGAATTTTAAGTCAAGAGTGACATTCAATTAGCTTCACTGAGGATACTTTAAATCAAAAGGAAGAATCAATTTGGAAGATCTCTGCATGATATTCATTTAAACCATCAGATATAGTTTTGGTGCAGTTCACTCCAGCAAAGCTAATGCAAAAAGAACACAACTCTATTAACTGTATTGTGTCCCATAGGTAAGATAGTACTGAAGGCTATAGCTTTTTCCTATGCCAATGTGATGGCAATTTATCCTAGATTCTTCCAGAACAGGGGAACAATAGCTTCTCACCTTCACCTACAGAGAGAACAAAGCAAGTGATATGGTTTTACTTGAGGTTTTGCAATCTGTATGGAAAGATCTATTGGGTGTACTCAGCTTATGGTCCAGAATTTATGATCTAG